CTATCATTCTGTTCTAATAGCTGAAACATATTCCTGTGAGTTTTCATTTGTCGAATGAACTGTTTGTCAAATACAGAATACATATATTTTAGAATAATTTTCTTTTTAAAATGTGGATGAAATGTTTTGCTTTTAATGTATTTTTTATGTATTGTTTTTGATTTGATAACTTTGAACTAAACAGATTTTCTATTAGCTTCAGATCTTGATCAAAGTTAGGCACCCAGTTCATAGGAGTGCTTATATTGATTTTCTGACATCTTGTTTTCTGTAAAGATTTTATTGGTAGGTTTGCAAATGTGTATCAGACTGTGCAATCTCTCCATGAGTTGGTTTTGAAACCCAGTATGGGATTCTGAGATACATTACCAAGGATATTATTACAAGATAAATCATTTGCTTCATTGAACACATACAACAATGCATATTTCCACTGAGGTCAGTGACCTTTGATGTGTATCACCAGTGATCAGTCAAGTAGAAACAGTCAAAATATTTTATCAGAATTTCTCAACTTTTGCATATTTTCATACAGGACATCTGTTGTTCAAACTCAGGGAAGACTTTATACTGATGAATAAGGTGACCAAGTTTGATAAAGTTTGGAATAGAATTAGTAAAGTTATTATGCACACAATAACAATTATTAACGACGACGACGACGACAACAACAACGACGACAACAACGACAACGCCAGACAAAATTTTTCCCTTAATATACCTTTCCCTTCCATCTTTGATGGTACGGGCAAGGTAAAAATATAAAAAGTTTTCTAATTCAGGCACCAAGACAGATTGATGAATTCCAGAAACGATATTTGAATTCAAATACTTACTGTAGTAATAACTTACCAATGTTTTCTACATAGTTGATGATTTTCCACTCAGACACTAAAATCCAACCCAAATCTACATTAAATGATAGCGTTGCCATCAATCCCAGTGCCTGTTTAACCAGTACTCTTTCACTTCTAATCAATGGTGCAGTTCGTAGCCATTTTATTACCGCCTACAGAAATCAAAGTACATGTCATTTTGTCTGTTTCACTGCAATGCTGGGCAGATAGTTGGACCTAAAGTACACATGAGGCCTAACTCACTGAGAGGCCTACCTCAAAGGCCGACCACACTAACTGTAAAATACTTTATTTTAGCTGGAATTAATTTTCGCTGAAAAGACTTTTCGGGTGTTTTTGTATGGGATTTATTTTCACTGATTCTTAATGGTTTAAATTTAAAATATAAGAAAAATGTATATTCGCTGGATTTTATTTTCACTGAATTATCCCTTCAGCGAAAATAGCTAAAATAAATTTCAAGCAAAAATAAAGTAATTTACAGTAAGTCTAGAGGCCTGTCTCACCAAGATTCTTAAAGGCCCACATTACAGAGATTTTAAAAGCCCATTTTATTTAGATTTTTAAAACCTAAACTCACAAAAATTACTAACTCTTCTTACAGAAATTTTAAAATTTCCACACAGATTTAAAATGATACTCTCATAAATATTGTTAAAGGTCCATTTCAATGTGATGTGTAATGGCTCAGCTCACCATCATTATTAAAGACTCACATCAGTTTTTTTTATGGGTCAAAAACACAACTAATGTACAATATCTGTGGTGCTTTAAAGGCCAACCCAATCTACATTCTTAAAACCGCCACCTTTCAGAAACCTTTAAAGGCCCACCTAAGCTACATTCTTAAAACCCCCACCTTTGAAAAACCTTTAAAGGCGCACCTAAGCTACATTTGTAATGCATCATCTTAAAATGAGGCCACCTAAACATAGATAATTCCAATATAAACCCATAATAGTTTTCTTGAATCCGACTGACGTCACCTTCACAACAAGCTGAACTTATCACAAGTTGAACTCCCTAGTATGCATAAACTCATTATTGAACTCCCTAGCACACATTGACTACCTAGCATAACAACTACACTGTCAATAAAATCTACATCTACAATAAAATATGTGGAAATAAAAGGGTAGGATCTAAAACAAACACCCATTCTAATATGCATTCACTCAACCACCCACACACACATATGTAAAAGCTCACTGTAGCTAAGGCACCAGGCTTTACATTTGGAATGTGTAAATAGACATGTACGCCTGGATGGTGAAATTGTTGTAAAAGGTACAATTGGCCATTAGACTATAAAAGTCACACATACAACCTGAACTAAGATCACAGACCCCTAACCTCCCTCCATCCTTACCTACAACCACATTCATGTAAAATAATATTTTTATTACAATAAAGTTTGAATGTGGGAGTAAATAAATAAATAAATAAATAAATAAATAAACAAACTGAATGAATGAATGAATAAATGAATAAATAAATAAATTAATAACTGAATGAATGAATGAATAAATACCTTCAAAGTTCGAGTCTCTTTAAAAAAAAAATGACTAAATTTCACACCCCTATTGACGAGATTTGCAAGAGTGGTTAAAGAGTGTGTCTGCAGACTTGAACTCCAGTCCAGACTGGCATCAATGTATTCCTCTCGGTTAGAAATCTTCTCTTGAGCAGGTGGGTCATCAGACATTAGTCCTATTTTGTTGTATGATAGAATTTTCAGTTCAAATTCATTTGGACCTTTATTGGCCCAGTCGAACACTATCTTGTGAGCAGTGTCTTTAACAAGAATAGGTCCAAGTTTGTGTATGACTCCAGAGAATATGGCACGCTGACTTGCTTCATGACTGAGCGAACACAAACAGGATATAGCACGTACTGAAGCACATAACGTAAGGGCACAAAATTCATTTTCTGAAAAATAAAAAAATAAAAGAACTTGTAAAACTATTGAATAGCATAATTTCACCAACATTTTACACTTTTTTTTTATTTTGGTACAAACTGATGAGAGCACTCATGAAACACAAATTGCTCTAAATTGTTGCCATTTTTGCTGAAAATCCAAGATGGCGGACAAACCATGTGATTGATCAAAAATTCTTTTTGTAAATGGAGACAAAAGTGGACTCAGGTGCTTAATTGGGGTATATAACAGAAAAACACTGAGATAGTCACTAACAAGTTTCTAATGTTGAAGGATAAAAGACTGGAGATGTACATAATTCTGGTTTTACGAGTGATCCGTTTATAGTTTTGTACAACAGCGTACCTCATAAAAAGGTGTACTATTTAGATAGGTAAATAATTAACTTGGGTTCAGTTGACATGTATTGTGTACATATTAAATGGGTTTGTTTTACCAAATTTTTTTCATCCCCAAAACACTGTCATTAAGTATCACCATTGGTTTTACAGAGTAAAAAGTGACTTGATGTGAATACACTTTAAAACATTTGTTGTACTGAGTTATACTGCCACATTGTATTACATTTTGGCACTGAATCACTGGGGCTAGTCACCACTGAGGTTGTGGTGTCAAATCACACTTAGTTTTAGAGAAATCCTTATATTAAATTTTATGGTTCTGTAGGATTAAAACGAGAGAATCGACACATGCGCATGCGACAAATGTCGTTTTAACAAAAAAAAAGCGTCTACTCATGAGCCTTTATGTTTTTTTAGCGTGCGTTGTTATTGTCGCTTGGGACTCCATTCCCGCACATGTGACAACCACTCCGCTTTAATTTCAAAAAATCCCTAATTACAAAATCCGAAGCAGTTATTATGCTTACGATGGAAAGTTTTTCTACAGATCATATAATATAGGAATACAAACCATATGTGTGGTTCAATCAGAAAACAATATGCTAGATGGGAAATAAAGAGTACAGTGTCTTAATACTGCTATAGAATTGTTTCCTTTTAATCCCTCTTTTATGTGATACTGTAAAATACTTTATTTTTGCTATTTTCGCTGAAGGGATATTTCAGTAATATTTTACATTGAATTTGTCAAAAATCAGTGAAAATTAACTCCATACAAAACACCCCAAATTTTTTTTAAGCGAAAATTAATTCTAGCTAAAATAAAGTATTTTACAGTCATCAGATTTTGACTTACGATTAACACAAGTGATCAATGCTTCTACAATACCACTTTTAGCAATTTTTTCCAGGGTAGGGTCGGTTGAACTACTGCCGACTTCTGCACTGAGTTTCAGAGCATTCACTATAGATGTGACAACATCGCAACAGTAGTAGTGAACCAAATACCATGGTATCTCAGTGCCGGGGCGTGCATTGTCAATCATACTGCGTTTCATTTCTTTAGGATCTCTTTCTACATTCAATTCTGGTATTTTAACTTTGAGTATTTTGGTAGCTACGTTGATGAGGCCTACTTTGACCAGCATTATGGCTTTACGTTTGTGTGATGCTGCAGGACCCTATGGGAAAATGAAGACTTATTATAGAACAGTTCATAACCATATATTGAGGGATAACAGAACACAAAGTACATAAGTATCTTCACTAAACGTTTAACCTTTTCACCACTAGTTCCCTTTTTTCATCACAAATTTAAAAAATAATCCTGTTTATACCGGTAGTCTGCACTTTCCATCAGAAGATTGAGAAAAAAATAGCAATTTTTTTTAGTAAAAACTGAAAGTTTACTCAAATTTTGTCTGTTAGTTCCAAAATTAGGGTTCATTTCCAGAAATATTGAAGAATATAGCAAAAAAGTGCAGACAAATTTCGTCGAGAAAATTTGGTGAAAACGTTAAGGCTAATAGAGATCCACCTACATACATATATAACAAGTATCAAAGTAATAGACCATTTTCCGTACACTGCAAGAATCACACGTTATGCGTGAAATCAAACGTAAAAACAGGACAAACAAAGGTCATAGCGTCGTAGTGGCGTCAAACATCGCGTGGGATTCGACAAACGCGAAGTATTTTGGGGGACATTTCCATGCTTAATAATGTGCTGTCCACATTTGATGATAGGCAATTTTGATTAAGTGAGGGTATTCGAAAGCAATATTCCTCTGTCGAAGATCGGCCGGTCGGTGTGAGCTACGAAATAAGGAAATTCGAGTTCAAAATCAAATCGTTCGATTTTTGCGGCAGACGTTCGACGCACGTCTTTCATGCATCTCGCGAGATCTCGCAATTGTACGGAAAATCACCTATTGGAGTAGATGTTTTGAAGAAGAAAACAAAAATAAAATTTTGACAACAGACAAATGCCTATACTATACCAATACAGTAGCACCTCCTGTCATCTTTGATGACAGTGGAGCTAAAAAGGTCTATAGCTCACTAGTGTTCAACATAACTGTCACTGTTTGTAATTATACAGGTGAACACATTGGGAAATAAAAAATGTAGTAGGGAACATTAAATTCTTGTTAATATTTCATAGACTGGTTTACATCAGAAACCCCAAAGTACTCATTAAAAGTACCGTAAAATCTGTATTAGAAGCTGCATCCCTAATAGAAGTCGCAACCATTTTTTAGAAATAATTGAGACCCAAAAATTTACCATTTTTCATATGATCTAATAGAAGTCGCATCCCCTCTATTGCATCAGTGTTTTCCACAAATAACATTTGAAGAGGGGCGCTAATTTGCATATTATTAGCTGGTGACAATCACTTCACGCATCTAGCCATTGTTTTTTGTTTATTTATTCAGCCAGTGTTTCCCCAGACACGAGGTATGTAAATGTGTCGAAATGGCACTAGATCTAGCGCTAAAATGGCACTAGATCTAGTGCTAAAATGGCACTAGATCTAGTGCTAAAATGTACATAGTGCGAGTGGCATTGACATCGCATTGTCAACGACGCCGAGACATCCCGTAATTGTCCGAAAATGAATTAATATTTATGTAAATTGTTGTATCTTTCATTCATTGGAAATGTGCTGCAGTGGGAAAATTGAGAATGTACATGAATGTCATTGTTCACGTTTGTCGTAATCACGGTTACTAAAAGAGACCTTTGAAACAACGCGATCGGCCGGGAAACTAGCTCCACGAACAGTGAAACTGCAGGTCAAACTTCGCAATTTTTACAAATTGTGAATAGATACTGTATACACTGTATGAAATCGTATTGTGTGGAAGTTTGTGTTTTCAGCTTCGGTGGATATAAACTTGTAACTTGTATGTAAATAGTGGAATTCAGCGTAGATTTTTTTTTAAATCGCTGACGTGCCGTTTTATTTCTAGTAGAAATAAAATTTTATTTCTAGTTTTTTATTTTATTTTATTTCTAGTTTTATAAATAAAATTTTATTTCTAGTTTCTATTTTATTTTGAAAATAGATCTTCAATGAAATTATGATGCCATATAAGAACTAAATAAAAAATGTGTATACTCCTAGTCAAAGTCCCGGGTCCCTGTAAAGCTTGGTGGATTTTGTGTGTATGGGCATGTTGCTCAGTACTGCTGGGAACCAGACAGAAAATGAACCGTTGTCTGGTTGTCATGACATTGACCTTTGCGGACATAATTAACTAATGAAAAAAGTGGATTCACGCAATCCTGTTGTTACATTGTACCAAGGAGCATAGACCTTAGAATGTCTATACAAGGAGTTACTAACGAAAGGAGCGACAATGCCTCTCAAGTGGCCATTTAAGCCTCTTAACTGACTTATTTCCTTTTGTTTCAACCCAAGTTAATCCTGATAAGGACACTGTCTAGCTCATCTTTGATGTCAATGATAGTTTGTGATTGCTTACACAAGTAACCAGTTAGCGGAATATAATATAACCTCGCTGATTTTTTAACATGACCATATATGTCTAGACACTTTCTCAGCAATAGTATTTTTTAGGAGTCCTATTATTTGTTCTAGACTCTCGAAATTTTGTTCTTATTACAGTTGCTAATAATTAAAACATGTGAAATCTGTGAAGTTACAAGTTAGTCTGTTGAATTTCCGGCTGTGAAATACGTATTTTAACCCTTCACAGCTAAACAAACCCAGTGCGCATACGTGATGACCGTAGTTTCGTAATGCGACGATTTTTCGGCAGTTTTTAAAGTTTTTATTTTTTAATATTTTTTTAATTTTTTTAGACATTTCAATCTTTCCTGACGCCTAAAGTAGTCGTTTTAAGCACCGTCCCTCAACACGGACGGTGATTTCAGTTTTTATTCAAGAGCGTGTTTATTGTTACAAGCGTGAATGGGTAAGCTTCGTTTGGACAAAGAGCTGCTTTCACTGTAAACAATATTAAATTATTCTTCTAATGCTCAGTTCATCTTTTGAAAACAACTATTTTTTGACTTGAAAAAAAAAATCATGCCATTTTCCCATCAAAATCCAAGCCAAAATATCGTACTACAACATCGGCAAATCTTTTCCGCGTTGCGTTCAACTTATTTAAATGAGCTATGGTGATTTGAACACATGGGCATCCTTCAGCATTTTGATTGGTTAATTAGCGATTTGACCTATTAGCTCAACTCATGCAAAAGAAACATGGCCGCCGGCTGGTTACGATGAAACTAAGTTGAATTTTATTTTATTTGGTCTACTTTTTAATTCAACAAGAATTATTAATTATTATTAATTATTGTTAATTCTGCAATAGTTTCTTTCGTCTTGGGTGGCCCAACTGACGATGTTGAAAGTCTGCGTAGTTAGATACTTCAATGATGAAAATGGAAGTCCCCCAAAAATATTTGATGATTATTTTTTGAAATTCCGAGCCCAAAATAAGTGCCCACCAGCCATGAAATCTCCAGGGCGATTTTCGGATGGCTAATTTATGACAGAATATAAAAGTATTATTATGGACATCTCGCGTATATTGGCGATGTTTTATACTGTTTGTAGTTTGCATATGAAAGTGGTTGTTGATGCCCCTCCTATTATTCGACGTCGTTGACAATGCGATAACAATGCCACTCGCACTGTGCACATTTTAACACTAGATCTAGTGCCATTTTAGCACTAGATCTATTACTTTTTCGGATTAGTGCTACTAGCACTAACCACTCGCACTACGCCTATTTGGACACATTTACATACATGCAGACACCCAATCCATTGTCCTACTTGTCACCTAATGCCACTATATGTCTCTTAGTTCTTTGTTTTATCGCCTGTCAATTAACAAGAAGTCTCTCAATAAAGTCATCGGGACATCTTCCCGGACTCATGAAACAGCTGTTCACCGAAAACAAAAGAGGGCGCTGAAGATATATAGAGGGGCGCTACAAATTGAAGAGGGGCACAAATAAATTAAAGAGGGTCGCTGCGCCCCTTTTAAACCCCTCGTGGAGACCACTGTGCATTGTACAATTTTAATAGAAGCCGCGGTTTCTAATACAGATTTTACAGTACTCAATAAAACATGTGCTTTATGGATTGTAAACTGTTCACAGTTATAAAACTGACCTATAAAAAGAAGTACTGTAAAATGACTAATTTTCACTCTTTTAGCCAATATATATTTTGTGTTATCCTACTGACACCATAAAAAAACGTGTGAAAATAGAGGGCATTTTTGCCTGATACCTTAAAATACCATAGCCATTTTTGCACATTGTCTCTTTTGGTTTTACATCTCCCGAACTTTAGATTATGGAATATTCTTACAACTTCTTGTATGCATTATATCTATTATGATGTCCTTTATGTATTATACTACTTTTATGAAATACACGAAAGGTATTTTTCTAGTCATCACTAAAAAATCACACATGGCTTTTTATGGATTGGGCCATATTGCTGTTGGTATGGATTTATGGTTTTAATATTATGGTATCAGCTATTATGGACATTATGGTTTTTTATGGTAAAATTTGTTACACTTGGATTGAATATGGTAATTTATGGCATTTTATATGATACTGAATGTGAAATGATATATTATGGCTTCAGATTTAAAATTTTATGGTAATATATGGTGTCAGAGTTCACTAAACCATGTGTTACTATACCATCAAGATTTCATTAAAATTTGATACACAGGTGCAAATCTGTTTAGACTAATGACATATTTTTGCTTCTATCTGTCCAGACGTTTTTGTTTATCATATTTATACTTAGTTTTTCTTTAGCCAAAATATATCAGTGGTCAAACTGTAGAAATGTTCATTACTTTTGATAAACAAATTCTTCTAGTGCCGCTAGTCTATAAACAAATGAAGATCATTAACATTTTCAAAATGACAGCTATTTTATCCCATAAAAAGGTTACTACACGGGCAGTACATGTAAATGCTAAATCTGTTGACATCATTTTGAGTTTCAAA